AAAAAAAAAAAAAAATCAGAAGAAAACAAAGAATATTGACCACCTTTCGCTCTGAGGTTCCCGCAGGCATTAGTCCGTGGCGGGTCTGCCTGCTCCCCCGCTTGGTCTTGCCCAAGTTTTCAGCTCCTGGCTGCTGAGCTGGGCAGATTAGATAGAAAGAGATTTCTTGCTTCCACTACAAGTTCCACTAGCCATAAGCCTTCAAACTTTTTAAATATCCCTACATATGTGGTTTAGAGTTTTGGAGCTCTCCCCTGAATCCACTTCACCTGGTGTTCTTTGTTATTGCTGATGGAGATCTTCACTGCACCTCTACCATATCTGCCATCAAACCCCATCTCTGATCAATTAGGTTTTAATTGGTAATTTGGTTTTACCTGTTTGTGATATGGGTGTATTCTATCTAGTACATTTTCTCAGATGACCCAATAATTGTTCACCTTTTCCCCTCAAACTTCATTTTTTAAAAAAAGGGCTATCTGTAGTCCTGGTATGGCTCTGCAGGATCAGCATTCTACTATGAGGTTGGTTTGAGTCACAAGGTTGGTGGTTCAAACCCACCATTCACTCCTTGGAAACCCTATACAGGATTGCTATGAGTCGGAGCTGACTCAATGACACTAACAACAGCAACAAATCAATATCTAATATGATATACTCTGATTTTTTTCCCTTAGCGGATCTGAAAAGAACGATTGCTGTCCTTTTGGATGATATTTTACAGCGCTTGGTGAAGCTGGAGAGCAAAGTCAACTACATTGTTGTGAATGGTTCAGCCACCAACACTACCAATGGCACTAGTGGAAATTTGGTGCCAGTAACCACAAACAAACGGATAAATGTATCAGGCAGCATTAGATAGCAGTTGAAGATCACCTCATGCTGCTACATTCACCATGGATTATAGCCTATGGCAGAAAAGCTTTTTAATTGATGGCTAGAAGACAGATGAATAATTTACAATAAAAACTCTATGCATTTTCAAGGAATATGCTGGATTTATGGAACTCTAATTCTGTATATAAAATTTTTAAAGTTACTAGTTTGCTTTGAGGCGAGTCTCTTCAATGATGTATTATATCTCTAAAGAGAATCTGGTGACATGGTTCATGTGGTAAGCAGGTAGGTGATCTTTGTATAAAGCTTTTGTGTTTGAGATTAAATGGAAACAAAAACACTGAAAGACATGGATTCATATCTATATTTATTTAAGGTAAAAGTTGCTTTTCAGATAGTAGAGAATATTATCATTGAATCATTCTGTCATTTGTTTCCAACAGATGTAACTGTTAGACTAATACTTTCAGAAAATGTGCTTACTTCCACTGCTCTATTTTGTTACTCGGATTATGAGCAAAGAACAGAAGTATAATGTTGAAAATAATGTTTTGAAATTATGACCCAAAGAATGTCTACATTTGCACTATCTTTCAGAATGACTGAAGGTTAATGATTGTATATTTTTAAAAATTAAATTTGTAGGAGTATAATCTTGAAATGGGTAGCAGTCACTGTCCACACCTTACTCTAAAACTGGGGCAATTTAATGACATTAAAATAAAATTCTTTAATCTCATAGTTAGTGCTTTCTTACATATATTCTAAGGAATAAAAGGTATTTTTATGATGAGATTAAAAATATGTATTAAGTCATGGTTTTTCACATACATGGGTTTTACTTTAAAAGTTTAACCCTTTGAGTGTCTGTGCTATCAGGAAAGCACATTATCTCCATATTTGGGTTATTTTTGCTTTTATTATTTTGGAGGGAGGTGAACTGAGATATTAAAGAAATTGGAACTCTTGAGGATTTTAGCCAGTTGTGTATACTAAAGGTATTTGTGCTACACTAAATTGCTTGGAAAATGTTAACATATAAGAGTATCCCACTTTATGAAATTTTGTATTTATATAACAGATACATTAGGTATTCATTTTATATAATGACCACTTAAAAATAATAAGAACATTTAAAATAAATGTTAAATTATGGAGACAGACTATCTTTTCAGGAAAACTGCTATTGTATATAGCACAAGAGAGCCTAATCTTGAGTAATTCTAATATAAAGCAAAGTATACATTTATTTAAGCTTCCCTTGTAGCAAATCTAATTACCATAATGGTACCATATATTTCATGGTATTTATTCACTGTAATAACTGCTTTAAGTGCAGGTAGCTGTTAGATCTAGACTATATTGAATTTAGTTTTAGGTATTGTTCGTTATTAAAATATGCTACTACATGTAGTAGCAATTAATAATATTTTGTTAAAATGTAAGTATGAGAAGATATTGTTTTATTGAAAAGTAGTTTTCCAAACTCTTTCTTCTGCATTCTACCTTTATGTAAAGAAGTTAAACATCTACTATTCCTAAGTGAAATTTGGAATAGTTGTTATAGTCTCTGTTATTAATTGTGGACATCTTTGTTGTTTTTTTTCAGGGGTAAAATAAAATATATTATTTGTACTTACAAAGTGTCATCATAAGCTTTTTTCTCTATTAGTGGTTGTGTATTTAAAAATTGTTAATTGTTTAAAAGGAATTACTAGGTACTTTGGGATTTTGTTGTATCAACTCCAGATACCTTTTAAAAATCAGTCTTGTTTTTTTAGAGCAGTTTCAGGTTTACAGAAAAATTGTGTAGAAGGAAGAGTTCCCACACGTTCCTTCCCCCTACATTGTTTCTACCATTTACATCTTATATACTGACATACTTTTTCAAAAGAGAAAAATTGAAGATTACTCAGTAGTGCCTCATTTGATGCTACACCAGGATAGGCAAGTCCGACTCTGGGGATAGATGGGAACAAGTCTGGGGATTGTGACTGGAGGTGGTTTGTACCCTTTAACATTGACTACTGATTTTTAAAAGGTAAGCCTTAGTATTTATATCTTCAGATAATCTTGGTTATCACTAAAGGTACTAAACACTTTCATATTTCTAGCAGAATGTCTTTGGGTGGGCTTTAAGCACTATACTGATTAAAAAGTAATTTGAGTAGTTTTTCAGGTAAGTTCACAATAATTTTGGTCCCAGACTTCAAGAGCACTTATGACCTGACTCTGGAGTGAGGTAGGCTATAGAGACTCAAGTCCACATTTTTAGGCACAGATTATATAATTCCTTCTTTTGAGTTTATAGAGTCTACTTTATCTTATTGATGTCGCAGAAGCTTGTAGTATAAAAATTACATGCCAGCAGCTAATATCGGAAGCTATAGTTTGCAGGTTCATTGGGAAAAAGTCCTGATTTTTAATCAAACACTTTAAAGCTGAGTAGCTATCACTGTGACTCCATTATTTTCCTTTTATTGGAAAAGTGTCTACCTGAAAAAGTGTCTACCTGAAAAAGTGTCTACCTGAAGCAAATAAAAGAAATGAGTAAATGAAATCATTGTAACCAGCCCTCGGTTTTTTTTATACGTTTATTGTGAATTGGGTGAAGGTTTACAGAGCAGATCCTCCGTTTTACATTCACTTCACACACATTTTGTTTCATCTCATTAATTGTGATCTCCTCAATGTAACATCACTAATCTCACTTGTTCTGTGTGTTTCTTGCTTCCATTCCCCAATTCCTAACCTTTCTAAGCTTTGTCCTTGGGTAAGTACTGCCCTCCTGATCTCAAATGGTGGATTATTCTAAGGCTTGCATACCTCCCTAGTGTTATTGTTCCCCTTCTATTGTTTGGTGGAAAATTGAACCATGGGGGTGAGTTTGGTTCCAGACATGAAAGGTGACTAAGGGTCACAATCTCAGGGGTTCTACCAGTCTCTAGCCAACCGGTAAGTCTGGCGTTTTTTATGATTTTGAGTTTCGTTTCACAATTTTCTCTTACTTTATCCAGGACATTCTAATATGATACCTTGGTAATGGTAGCCAAGCATTATCTAGTTCTGGTTTTGAGGGTGTGGAAACTGATGTTTACACAGTCCATTAGTCCATTGAACTAATTGTCCCTGGATGGTTCTAAAAACCTTTATTTGGTAAGTAGTGGTGTTTGGTTAGTGGTTATGTGCTGTGGAGTTGGTTCGGACTCATAGTGACCCTGCAATAGGGTTTCTGAGGCAGTAAATCTTTATGGGCACAGAAAGTCTCATCTTTCTTTGGTGGAAAGACTGGTAGAATCGAACTGTTAACTTGCTCAGCTGGTAATCCACTATACTACCAAAGCTCCTTGGTAAATGGTGGTGGTTGTTATTGTTAAGTGCCGTTGAGTAGGTTCCGACCCATAGCGACCTCTGTACAGGGTTTCCGAGGCTGTAAATCTTTATAGGAGCAGAAAGCCTCATCTTTCTCCCGCGGAGTGGCTGGTAGTTTCAAACTGCTGACCTTAAGGTTCGCAGCCTGATTTGTAACCACTAGGCTAGGGTTCAGTGTAGAAGAGCAAGCTTGAAAGCTACAAAGAAAGAAAGAAGGAATATGTGAATGAATACAGAGAAGCACAATGTGTGAAATATTTCTACCAAGGAATGAGTTCTCCTACATTCTGGTGTGTAAATACCAAGCTGATCTCCCTTCCTACACTTCACTTTTTGTTGGTTCCTGAAATTTGACTCAGCTGTTTTGTGTGTGTGTCCTGAATCTTGCTTTAAACTATGCATAGTTCTTAAAGTTAATAAAAAGGTTTTAGAAGCCACTGATTCAGTATAATTTCAATAAAACTGTTACCATTTTGCTTTATTTAAGAAGAAAAATAATGGCTGCAGAATTAGTTTGGTGTTAGCCACAAAGACAAAAACTATATTCCATGACAGATAAGACATATAGAACTACCCCCCCCCATTTCTTATGAGAAGCATGGAATTATCAAATTATGACTATCAACTAGTAGTTTTCAATCACACTGAATTATTTAGTGCTGCTGCAATTGAAAAGAATCCCGGTGGTGCTGTTGGATAAGCACTGGACTGTTAATCACAAAGTTAAAGGTTCAAACGTACTAGCCACTCTGAGGGCTAAAGATGATACTGTCTACTGTCGTGAAGATTTACAATCTCGGAGACCCTAAACTGGGTCACTATGAGTTGAAACCAACTTGATGGTAGTGACTTTGCTATAACCAAAATGGGTGGCTTCAACACATTTATTTCCTCACAGATTGTTGTTGTTGGTTTCAACGCGTAATAACCCTGTATAAGGTGTCTGAGGAGTGACTGGTGAGCTTGAATCACCAACCTTGAAGTTAAAATGGTTTTGCAGTCTGGCGCATTAACCCACAGGGCCACAACAGTACTCCACACAAATCCAAACTGAGAGCACCATCTCCAGAGGAATGATTTTTCTCTGTTGGTGATGGAAAAAGGTCCTTGTCTCATCAGGTTCTGGCTCCTTGGAGATCTCCATGTGGATTGGCATCTATTTTACCCCATCCCTGCTTCCTATCACTGGTTTACTTAATCTCTTTTATAAAAGAGATTGACTCAAAATGTGCCCTGTACTAATCTGGCCCCACTAACATAACAAAGAAAAGCCAATCCCAAATGTGATCATAGGTATAGGTTGTTAAATGCCATTGTGTAGTTTCAGTTTATAGAGTTTCCAGGACTCTAGGCATGGGTAAGGTGGAGGGTCAGAGAAAAAGAGGAAGACCACCAACAAGATGGATTGGCCAAGTGACCGCATTGATGGACTCAAGCATGACAACAGTAGTGAGGTTGGCCCAGGATCAGGCAGTGTTTCATTCTGCTATGTGTAAGGTCCCTATGGGTCGGTACCAGCTGGATGGCACGTAACAACAACAA